TAAATACTCAGTATTTGTTTTTGATTTGTGAACTCTATGTTTGATTTTTTTTTTTATTTTTTTTTTTGTTTGTCAGATGCTACGCTCGTTTGCATCCTCGTGCTACCAATTGTAGGAAGAAAAAATGTGGTCACAACAACGATGTAATACATATTCTTTTTGTTTTGTCAGATGCTATTACTATTTAGTAATACATATTTTCTTTTCCCTTACATAGTCTTAAATTTTACAAATAATTTTGATTTAGAGATCTAACAATCTTATACTTTTTGCTTTTATTTTTGTACAGTTGAGGCCGAAGTCCAAATTGTACGAACATTAAAAGGTAGCATTAATGACATGGAAATTTAATTATCCCATCCCTAGTTTTTTTTTTTTCCTTTATTTACGCCCTGAAGTTCAAACTAGGCCATTTTTTAGTTTTTTATTTTTGTTTTATACTTAAAAGTCTTATATATTAACATTAGTGACAATATTGTAATTGATTTAGTTTTTAATTTTTGACTCATGTCTTTTGCTATTGTTTTTTTTGTTCCTTCCATACGCCGTCCCAATGCCGCCAACGCCGTCCGTCCGATTCCTCATAGATCAATATTTAGAAAAGTTTGAGTAATTTTGGAATTCGACCATGTTTGGATACAAAATTTCTCAAAAAATTTCAAACATTTTTAACCCAACCATTTTTTTTAACTCAGCTTTAACTCAACCCCACTATTATCAATATTATCAATATAATTAAATAATATCAATCAATCATTCTTACACACCACCTTACCTTAATTCACTATTCATCAACTCACATAATTTTAACTAACCATCACTTCAAATCTTCTCTCTCCTACTTTACATTAAATCAACTTTAATTAGTTTATTTTAAATATTATTCTAATACACCCACTAACAACTAACCATATCAACTTTTTCAAAATTAACCAAACCAAACAAAAAAAATCCAAACAATACCAAATTTTTTTATATCCAATCATCTCATGGAATCTTTTNAGTTATTTATGTTGCCAGTACCTATGAGTATTTAGTTATATGCCTTCTGGTATTCAAGTTAATTAGAGTATGCTTGATACAAGATTTCTCAAAAAAATTTAATTATTTTTAAATAAATTACTTTATTTGACTCAAAACTAAATCAACTATGATCCAACCCTACTATCCTCCACAGGGGCGGATGCAGGAAAAATATTTGGGAGGGGCAAAAGTAATTATTCCAACCGGATAATTGGATTGTATTTGTTCAACTCGTTATAGTTTGATCTTATATCATTTATATATTTAAATGAGCCAAGTTAGAACGACTAGTCAAACTTTCTTATTAAACAAATCGAATAGATTGAAACTTACACGAGCCGAGTTTGAGCTCATATTTTTGTTATTTATTAAATAGTCAAGTTAATCTGACTCATTTATTAAACTATAACAAGCGTAAACATAAAGTATTCAACTTGACTCAACATGAATAACATTTCGAGGGAACTATATAATTTTTAATATCTCTCTCACTCACTCACATACACATATATAGGCGTACAATTACATTTTAAAAGGGATAAAATAACTAATAAGTTGCACTACAAAAGATATAACTTCTTAATTTTGGTAATTTAAATGCTCAACATTCTTTATAACTCACGAAACTCATTGATCATTGGCTCGATGTTATAACAAATGTCATAATTGGTAAGTTGCCTAACTGATAGACATATATATTTTAATTGTACGTAAGCTCAAACACAAAATATTATAAAACAATGTTGAAAAGGTATTTACAAAAGTACGATGTATTTAAAATTAATTAGTAAATAGAGTGATGCCATAATGTGTAATAATTATGAGAATGAATATAAATTGAATATGTTTTATATATGTTTAATATATATATATATATTAAAGAAATTAAAAACCTTAAAATATATATACATATATATATATTAAGCAAAATANTGGCCCCCCCCTTGGTATAACTTGGATCGATCCACCTCTGATCCTTCATATTATATAATTTGTTAGGTGGTTTTATATAACACATATATAAATATAGAACTGGCCTTTTGTAGCGAAAGCGATAATTGGCCATATTTTTCGATGACTACTAGAGTCGTCGGTAACCAGCCACCTCTAAAATTCAAGCCGTATTGATGGTTTCAACTCAACAAGAGAAAAACAATAAATATATAGATTATTGTATATTTCTCTTTTTTTATTTTTGGTCTCATATAGTCATACACAAAGCATTATATCTATTATACTAGTCTTCATAGAACCCAAAGTAAATGAAGACTTGAAACATACTTCTCATAACTCCATACTTAATGGAGATGAGCTATAACACCACCAACATTAAGTGGATGTTACAACACGAATAGAATACAAAATAATATAGACAATTGACAAGACCAGACGTGACAAACACGACAGCACACAATTCGATCGGACACACAACACTTAACCAAGAAATAGAGATGACATTGAATTAGAGATTCTATTATATTCATAATCAATTTAAATAAAGAGTTAAAAGAAATGATACTCCCTCCTATTTTTAATAAGTGTCGTTTTGAGAAAATATGTGAATATGAAAAGAGTATTTATTAATTAGATGAGAGTAATAATGGAAAAATATGTACATAAGATCAAAAACGTCATTTATTTGGCTAATTGTTGATAAAACCAAAATGACATTTAAAAAAAAAAAGAGAATATTAAAAAATGATGTTCGAGAAAATGATTAGTCACCCCTATCACGTATCAAAAACATGTTTTACAATGTATATAGTTGGCATTCACGAGGGTAGTCATACATCAGCTCACACCAAACCTGCATCAATCCAAGTAACACACTAAATGTGAGGTCCTGCACAAGATAAAGCACCCCAGTTAGAGCCCTTTTTCCACTATAAAACCCACCCAATTCTCCAAACTTTGACATCACCAAACACATTATTCACCAAATAATATAACCACACTCAACAAAAAGAAAGAAACTATAGCATTAGTCATGTCCACCACATATTTGCTCACTTTCCTTATTAGTCTTGTGGTTCTCACAGCCGCCGAACAAATTGGCGGGCTCTCCCTGAAAGAGCCGACACAAATACCATTCGGAACCAGAAACTGGGGCAAAATAAAGAACCACCAATCAAAGTCTATGCAAAAATCCATCACGAGATCGGCGCATAACGATTTTGCAATTGGACAAGCAAAGTATGATTCCACAGGAGAAAGACGAGTCATGGAGAAAACACTAGAGAAAGCATCCCATGAAAATGAAGGACTGGCTATGGAATATGCCCTGCCTGTAAGTTTTGCTAGGATGGCAACTATGGAAAATTCAGGGGAACGAATTAAAGATGAGACCACGAGTCATATTGGAGCGAAATCAAGTCAAGAAATTCGTAATTATGAGAATATGCATGAGTAGAAGCAACGATTAGTGGTTCTTGAATTACTAGTCGTTAAGAGGGGCTTTGGAATTAAATAAACACGAGCGTCTCGTGCATCTGTCGATCAATGTAGTTGGTTTTATTAATCACTATTTGAGAGATTTGTGTTAAGTATTGTGTTTTGCACATTCAAATAGTTACTTTATTAGTTCCAAACCAAATTGTTATGGATTAATAAAGGGTTCCAAATCCAACCCTACATTAAACAAATCAAATGATGCAATTACGTGGTTACCCCTTAATGTAAAAAATTTCACGCTCGGCTAATCTGAATACAAAATATGTTACTTGAAATGTGGGATGAAGGTTAGATAGACTGATTCATCATATGCAATTACGAAAATATATATATATATATATATTTGCTGGAAATAATATAATATGCACTAATAAATAGGTCTTCAACCTAGCTCAACATCATCGATAAAATTTATTTACCTATATATATTGAGTATCGAAACCTACAATTATAATTACAATATATATTTTAATCTAATGGGTACTTGAGATTCTATAGTGAAACACAGTTTAATGATGAAAGATTATCACATTTTCATGAATAGAAAGGCTAAAATTAGTGTTACCAATAAACAATTAATTTTTTGTTAGAGAGTT